TCCATCCATCCATCCATCCATCCATCCATCCATCAATCTATCAGTTTTTTGAGACAGGACTTCTCTGTGTAACAGCTCTGGCTGTCCTGGAACTCACTTTGCAGACCAAGCTGGCCTCGAATCACCTGTCTCTTGAGTGCTGGGATCAAAGGCATGCACCACCACGCTCAGCTCTCTCCCCCTTCCCCCTTTTTTAAAGAAAGAACAGCCAGTGCTCTTAACCTCTGAGCCATCTCTCCAGCCTGCAATATATATATATATATATATATATATATATATATATATATATATATATATATATATATATATATATATATATATTTATTTATTTATTTATTTATTTTATTTTATTTTTTTGGGTTTTTCAAGACAGGGTTTCTCTGTGTAGCTTTGCGCTACTCACTTTGTAGACCAGGCTGGCCTCGAACTCACAGAGATCCACCTGCCTCTGCCTCCCGAGTGCTGGGATTAAAGGTGTCTGGCACCACCGCCTGGCAAAATACATTTTTTTAAGAACTTAGATATAGTCCTGGTCTGTTGCCTGTAGGTATATTGTCTTGGGCACATTGCTTATCCTCTGTGTATCTGAGTGTTCTGTTCTGTTCTATGAAAGTAGTATAATCATGGTAAGCTCTTTCGGGGTTGTGTGTGTGTTTGGGGGGGAGGGGCGTAAGGATTAAGTGAGATAACACATGCAGTGCTAAGAACAATGGCCTGGCATGTGGTTAGTACTCAGATGATTGCTTTTTTAAAAAGCTGCTAATGTTGGAGTTGAGGGGGGTACATAAATAGGTCTGACTAATAATAATTTGGGTATTAGGCTCTTTTCATATTTACCTGATACCTGTTATATGGCCTTGTTAGAAACCATGGTATTCACATATTTGTCTCAAGATGGCCAGTGTCTGTCTATTCATTATAGCTGAAGTTTAGGCATTTATTCAACAGTTAGTGTTTTGTGTCTTGGTTGTACTAGGCACAAAAGTACTTCTTTCCCTTTAGTCTTTAAAGGCCTTGTTGTGACTTTTATTCAAGAACTATGCTAAAATACTAGAAAACCAAAACATGTTGATGCTTGGAGGTATGCTGTATTGGAACAAGACACAATGGATGACGGGATTCTTTTATCTTCAGATGTTAAAGATGACTTAGGACAGGAAAACAGTGACGCTTCCTCCCATGGGAAGCATGGAAATGTCAGAAGTTATAGTTGGCTATTGATTTTATTTTTATTTATTTTGACTTAAAAAATTGTATGGTGGAGTTGAGTGCACACATGGGCTGTAGTTTACATGTGGGGATCAGAGACAACTACAGAAGATGACTTTTCACCTCCCATTGTGTGGTCCTGTGGAGAGTCTTCCTGTGTAACCCTGACTGTCCTAGAACTCAAAGGGATCTGCCTGTTTCTGCCTCCTGAGTGCTGGGATTAAAGCCATGCACCATGCCTGACGTATTTGTCCATCTATCAAGATTGCTTCCTGTTAATGATCTCTAGTTTCATGCTGCTCATGGTCAAAAATTATACTGGATAAGATTTCTGTCTTTTTTGAATTGCTAAGACTTGTGGTTAAACAAGAGTATTTTATGTGCATTACACATTAGGACTATTTAGTCTAGATTACAGTTCAGTCCAGTATTTCCTTGTGAGTTTTCGGTCCAAAAGGGGGGATTAAGTCCCCTACTGCTTTTGGAGTATGTTTTCTTACTTATGTCCCTTAATGCTCTTGCTTTATATTTAGGTGCTTTGGTGTAATGTAAATACTTACATTCATTATATTCTGTGGTAATTGACCCTTTATTATTAAATAATGACAATCCTAGTCTCCTAATAGGTTTTGGTTTGAGGTCTGTTTTATCTAATGTAAGCATAGCCATGCATGCTCGGGTTTGTTAGTTTACTGGCAGTCTCTGACGTTCCTTGGCATAACCTATCCCCAGCACAGTAGATAAAATTTGTGTTGAAGCTTAGTTCATGTAGAAAAATGTTATATTTCTCTTGAAGTGCAGTTTGAATTTGCCTTTTTTTTTCTTCTCGAAGTTGAGCATCTCTGATATGATTAAAAGCTATTTGTTTTTCTATGAATGAAGTTCACATGTGAATTACTGATCTTTTCAAGTTTTCATGTGAATTACTGATCTTTTCCCTAAGAAATCTTTAAGAATTGGAATGGGCTTGGTGGTACCCACAGTACTCAGGAGACTAAAGTTGGAAGATTATGAGTGTAAAGTTAACCTAAGCTATATGGTGAGACCCTGCCTCAAGAATGAATGAATGAATTAGGAAAGTTATTCCTTCTGAGGCATAAATGTTTTCCCCATCAGTCTTTTTACTTTTGATTTATCTTTGTTTTGTTCTAGTAGTTTGAATTTTCCTAATGGATACATGGATCCTCTTTTGCTTTCCTAAGCTTATGACTTAAGTATCACTGTCTTTTAGAATCCTTCCTAATGTATTTCAAAACCCAGATACATCTCTTGTTCACATGGTGTCTTTTTCATATCTTTAGTTTAACCTTTAATCACAATCCTTATTTCTACTGTTTTTTCTCAAACTTTTATTTTTATATTTTTAGTGCTTAGAGCACAGACATGTATATTTTATTACTAATGTCTTATATTTTACATTAGATATTTATATTACACATTAGATTTTGATGCCTTTGATTTCATAGCCATTGAAATGCAATTTAAGTGCTCAAAATTGGTTAAATGGAGAACCAAGGAGTCTTAACTCATTCCTGTACTGTTTTCTTTTGCTACTTCCCTTGGGATTGTTTTAGTGAGATATTGACTTATTTGGAGGAGCCTCTGCTATTTTTAATTAATTAATTAATTAATTAATTTTTTTTTAGTTTTTCAAGACAGGGTTTCTCTGTGTAGCTTTGGAGCCTGTCCTGGGACTCGCTTTGTAGACCAGGCTGGCCTTGAACTCACAGAGATCTACCTGTCTCTGCCTCCTGAGTGTTGAGATTGAAGGGATTCAAGGTGTGCGCCACTATGTGTGAGAGCTTCTGTTATTGGTAACAGATTTCAATTCCCTTTGTAATTTAGATTTGTGGCCAGGGATTTGTGGCCAGGCTGTGGTAATCCCAGCAGAGGCAGATGGATCTTCCTGAGTTTGAGGCAAGCCTGGTCTACAAAGCAGGTTTCAGGACAGGCTCCAAAGCTACACAGAGAAACCCTGTCCCCAAAAAACAAAAACAACAAACAAACAAACAAACAAACAAAAAAGATTTGTGAGACTGTGTAGGCTAATGATTCTTGGTTTTCTTGACCTTTAGAGGAAGGTCATGTTATATCCTGTTTTGTTTGTTTTTTTTGTTGTATATGTGTTTCTGTAATATAATTTTATTAAAACGTGTACAGAATAACGCAAAGAGTGAGAGATTGGTGTAATAAACTTCAGTGTACTGGGCACTAGCTTGAAGAGTTATCAACTTGCTGGGCATGGTTGTGCACACCTGTAATCCTAGTACTTGTCAGGCAGAGGCAGAGGCCCAGGCAGGAGGATTGCTGCAGCCTTAAGCTGGCCTGATGTGCACACTTGTAATCTTGGTACTTGTGAGGCAGAGGCAGAGGCAGGATTGCTGCAGCCTTAAGCTGGCCTGATCTACGTAGTAAGGCCAAGTATACATGCCTCAAGTATACATCAACTCAGGATACTTTTAAGGTAAGTGCTTAGTATACCAATGGAGTTGTATAGATTCCTGGAGGTTATCTAGCACTAGCCTCCTACTTAAAGAAAAGCAAGATCTTAATCCAGATATAATATCAATTGCTTTATATGTGGGAATGTCAGTTTTTTGAATGTAGTCAATTTCATTATTGAATAGCATTATTTACAAATTAGTATGCCAAGAAACCCTAGTTGACAGAGTTTTAATTGCTTTCATCATGAGGTTTCTGTTGTGTTGAAGATAATAAATGTAGCATTCTTATTAAGCTTATAAAGTTAATTTCAAATGGCATGTAAAAACTTACTGGTGAAACACTAACAAACATTGTATATCTATTTTTAAAGATTTATGTGTATGAGTTTTTCTCTGAATGTTTAAATGTATACCATGTGCTTTTGTATACCTTTGTATACCTTCCATGTATACCTTTGGAGATCAGAACAGGGCATCAGATCCCCTGGACCTGGAGTTACAGGTGTTTGCAAGCCACTGTGTGGATGCTGGGAATTGAATCCAGGTCCTCTGTAAGAGCAGGAAGTGCTCTTACCCACTGAGCTTTCTCTGCAGCCCCAGCACAGCCTATCTTAAGGGAAACTTCAGGTGTCACTGGCTGGCTACTTTTGATTTAAAACTTGAGCATATTTTAACCACATGAGGGGGTTTATAGCTGTTGATGCTAAAGTAGGAGTCCATAAAATAAAACCTACTATTTATAGTGGACATACTACCTTTTACTTCTCCATTCAGCATATCCAATAGATTTTATATTTTAAAATCTGAGCCTGGAGTGACGGTGCATGCCTGTAGTAATCCCAACAGTTGGGCAGCAGAGGCAGGAGGATTCCTAGTTCAGGCCATCCTGGGCTGCAATAGTGAGATTCTGTCTCAAACTTAACAACAACAAAGATCTGTAAATAAATTGCCAGTTGAGATTATTTCATTAAGAATACTACACTGTAGTGTCTGTATGATAAAGTAAGTCTGAATTACAATTACACTGCTAAAGTTCCAGTAATAGCCCAGGTTATTGTTAATTGGTTTCTTTTTTATTGGCGGTTTTGAATAGAGTATTGTCTTCTGAGATTATCTTGATGAGCCCTGAATTTCTCGAAGATGTTCAGGTCACTTATACCTTATGGTGTTACCACAATGAGAATTATATATGGAGCATATTTGTTAATTCTTTTCAAAACAACTGGTTGTATTTTATGTTTAAGCATCTCCTTGCTTTTGATAGACAATGAGAATTGAATGTATTTATTCTTATTTCAACTCAAGATTAGAATGTAATGTTTCTCTTCTTGACTTCTGTTCTGTTAGAGCAGGTTGTTGCCCTGGATGCCCAAAATATCGTAGCTGTTTCATGTGGAGAAGCTCATACAGTAGCACTTAATGACAAGGGCCAGATGTTTGCTTGGGGTCTTGACTCTGATGGACAACTTGGCCTACTAGGATCAGAGGAATGTATCAGAGTACCCAGGTAACAAAGGTGACCACAAAGAGGTCCTTAAGCTTTTATAATAAATTTGTTTGTCTAAATGATTTTGCTTATGGTGAGCACTCTGCTTACTGAGCATGTAAGTATTGTTGCCTAATTATTTCTCCCCTTTGAATCTTTTAAGAATTTACTAAGTTGGTTCTTGTTATTGATTTGCGTTGAGGTATTTGGTTGACTATTTTTTTATATAACTAATATTTTTTCCATAATGTATAAAATTTCTGTTTGTAAAGAAAAGAAGTAGGATGGCAGGTATGGTAGCACATGGCTTTTAATCCCAGCTCTTGGGAAGCAGAGACAGGTGGATCTCTGTGAGTTGGAGTGGAGACCAGCCTGATCTTTTTAGTAAGTTCCAGGACAGCCAAGGCTACACATAGAAAAGCCTGTCAGCTGGGCGGTGGTGGCGCACGCCTTTAATCCCAGCACTCGGGAGGCAGAGCCAGGCGGATCTCTGTGAGTTCGAGGCCAGCCTGGGCTACCAAGTGAGTTCCAGGAAAGGCGCAAAGCTACACAGAGAAACCCTGTCTCGAAAAACCAAAAAAAAAAAAAAAAAAAAAAAAAGAAAAGCCTGTCTTGAAAAAAAAGAAAAAGAAAAGTAGGAATTGTTTTCTTCTAGATGGGATAGACTGATTTAAGCTATTGGTTCCACTCTGTCAAGTGTCCCAGCTATTGAAATATTGATTTAATACTGATTGGTTGCTGGGCATGGTGGCACACACCTTTAATCCCAGCACTCAGGTAGAGGCAGACAGATCTCTGAGTTGCACACAGCAAGTTCCAGGACAGCCAGGGCTACATAGAGAAGCCCTGTCTCAAAAACAAACAAACAAAAATATCTATTGGTTGCATGTTTCTCTGACCTTTTTTTTGAGGCTTTGTTGATTTTTGTTTGTTTAATTTATTGTAGACATCCATTAGAAACGGATGCCCCCACCCCCACCCCACTCACCCACCCAATACTGGGACTTAAGATACACACCACCATTCCCAGCTCTTGTTTTAGATCTTGGAGAGAGCATTTAGCTTTTATCTAGTATGTTATTAACTTCCTGCTTTTTTTGTTAAGATTTTCTTTTTTTATGTGTATGAATGTTTTGCCTGCATGTGTATGTACCACGTGAGTGCCCCGAGAGGCAAAAGAGGGCATCAGATCTTATGGAACTAGAGCAGTGGTTCTCAACCTTCCTAATGCTGCAACCCTTTAATACAGTTTCTTATGACGTGGTGACCCCCAACCTTAAAATTATTTCATTGCTACTTCTTAACTGTAATTTTGCTGTTATGAATCATAATGTATATGTTCGATATGCAAGGTATCTGATATACAATCCCTGTGAAGGGCCACTCGACCCCCATAGGGGTTGCGACCCATAGGTTGAGAGCCACTGAACGAGAGCAACATGTGGGCTGACACATGTGGGTGCTGAAAAAAATAAATATGGATCTTTTGCAAGAGCAGCAAGTGCTCTTAATCACTGAGTCATCTCTCCAGCCCCCTAGTTGTTGGCTTTTTCTATAACATCTTTATTATGTAGAGATATGCTCCTTTTATACATATTTCTTCAGCCTCTAGTCGTTTATGTTGTGTCCTTATTTGTTACTATTATCAGAGTAGATGAATTCATTTCTCTTGAGTTTTTTGAAATAATGTGAGAATCAGTATCAGTTCTGTGTTTTTTTTGTTTGTTTTGTTTTGTTTTGGTTTTTTTTTTTTTTTTTTTTTTTTGGTTTTTTGAGATAGGGTTTCTTTGTGTAGCTTTGGTGCCTGTCCTGGAACTCACTCTATAGACCAGTCTGGCCTCAATCCGCCTCCTGAGTGCTGGGATTAAAGGTGTGCACCACCACCACTGCCCGGCCAGTATCAGTTCTTTAGATGTTATTAGGCTTGAGCCATCCTCAGGTCCTGTGCTTTCTTTGATGGACACATTGGTACTGAGTCTGTCTTACTCCTTGTTGCTGGTCTGTTGAGTTTTTTGTTTCTTCATGGTTCAGTTTTGTAAATGCTTATGTTCAGGAATTGGTCTGTTTCTTCTAGGTTATGGAGTTTGTTGGCAATAATCTCTAGTGATCCTCTATTTCTGTATCAGTTATAATGTCTCCCCTTTTGTCTCTGAGATTATTTAAAATGACTTTAGCATTTGTTTATTTTGCATGTATGTTCATATGTGGGTGTACATGTGCAACAGTTTGAATATGTGGAAATCAGAAAGCAACTTGCAGAAAGTAGTTGGTTTTCCATCATGTGGGTTCCAGTAATTGAACTCAGCTTGTCAGACTCGGCAGTAAGTGCTCTGGGACTGAACCATCTACATGATAAGAAAGCAAGCCCATGACTGCTTTTTCAGTCTGGTCAGGGGGATGCCAGTTTTCATCTGCCGAAGAACTTTTTTATACATTAAAAAAAGATTCTGTTTCTTTATTTCTGCTGTGGTCTTTATTTTTCTTTCCATCTATTAATGTTGGATACCTTTTGGTTTGCTTTTTTTCCCCCTCCTTGGGTCTTTTGAGACAGGGTTCCTCTCTTGTGACTCACTGTGTACAGGCTGGCCTCTAACTCAGAGATCCACCTGACTCTGCCTCCCAAGTGTGGGGACTAAAGGTGTGTACCACCACTGCCTGACTTGTTTTTGCTCTTCTTTATCTTTGGGATAAGAATGAGTGTTGAGATTTTCTGTCTTATAATGGAGGTGCTGATTGCTGAAAACTTCTCAGTACCCGCTTTTGCTGTAGCCCATAGGTTGGCTATATGGTGTCTTCATTTCCCCTTTTTTCAAGAAGTTTTTCCTCTGTGATCCATTTGGCTATTTAAAGCTAAGCTGTTTCAGTTCTGTGTTACTGTGTAGTCTCCAGTTGTTTCTTGTTACTTACTTACTAACTGCCAGTTTTATTATATTGTGACTGAGAAAGACACTCAGTAAGATTCTGTTCTTTACATTTTTATTGAGGGGCTAGGGATGGAATCAAATCTCATTTGATAGAGATTACTTGTTGATAGCAACAATGCAGCCCAGATGTGATGGGCACACTCTTATAATCCCCACACCGGGGTGGCGGCCGAGGGCTCAGAAGGGCATCCTTGGCTTCATAACAAGTTTGAGGACAGCTCAGAATAAGTGAGACTTTGTATCAGACAAAGTAAAAAGGGCGGAAATGTTACTGAGATTTGTTTAGTGGCCTGTTAAGACCTGCCCTGGAGAATGTTTCATGTGCTGTTGTATAGCAGGTTCTGTAGTTGGTTTGAAGCCCATTTGATCTTTTGACTGCTGATTCTTTGTCCACTTTGTCAACTACGGAAAGAGGGGCATTAAAGTCCTCTCTCTGTTACTGTGTTGGAGTTGACGTCTACCTTAGGTCTAGAATACCAAGAGTATTTTCCATATGTGGATGCGCTAATATTCTATACCTTATATTGAGAATTATTGTTTGTTGACTTGACCTCTTTAGCATTACATAATGCTCTTTTTTTAAAGATTTATTTATTTATTTAATGTATATGAGTGCTCTATCTGCATGTACACCTTTACACACAGAAGAGAGCCACCATGTGGTTGCTGGGAATTGAACTCAGGACCTCTGAAAGAGCAGCCAGTGCTCTTAACCTCTGAGCCATCTCTCCAGCCCTGTTTAAGTCCATTTTATCTGACAGGAGTATTGCTACTGTTTTCTTATAGTTCTGTTTGCGTGGAGTACCTTATTCCATTGCTTCTTCTTGTGTTTGTGTCCTTAGAGGTAAATTGAGTTTCTTAGAAGCAGCCTATATGATCTGGTTGTGGTGATCCACACCTTCAGTCCCAGCAGTAAAGAGGCTGAACCAGAGGAATTGTCATTTGCAGGCTAGCTTGGGCTCCAAAGTGAGTCTGTCTCAAACAAGTCAAAAAAGAAGTAGCAGGTATTTGCTTTTGGATTTTGTAATTCACTCAGTTACTCTTTTGTTTATATAGCCCTGGCTGTCCTGCAACTATGTAGATGAAAGTGACCTGGAACTCGGATCTGCTTTCTTTTTCCAGAGATTTCCACCAGGGCTAGCTCAGTCGTGTTGTGTCGTGTCCCCCCCCCCCCCCCCCCCCCCCCAGTTTTTCTGTGTAGTCTTGGCTGTCCTGGAACTCGCTCTGTAGACCAGGCTGACCTTGAATTTACAGACATCCCCCTGCCTCTATCTGAAAGGCGTGTGCCACCACATGCCTGGCTTTAGTTGCTCATTTTTAATTGGACAGGAGGACAGGAAAACGTAGTGTTCTGTGAGAATGTAGCATTTTGAAATATTTTACTTGAACTTGCAGATTAATAACTGGAAAAGGCTTTTTTCCTGATGAGTAATTTAATATGGTGAAAAGATCAATGTGTGATGTGGGTGGTATCCATAAGCAGTAACAGGAAATACTAACTTCAGCACAATTGTACACATGCATGTATTTTTGTTTCTAGCTCCTTTGTATTTATTTTGCTATGGCATTCTGTCATGATTTTAAAAACTGAAGGTACATTGGAACCTGCTGTTTTGAAGCAGCACAGCTCTCAGGTTCTGTAGTTTAGAACATATATCCAGGGGGCTAGAGAGATGGCTCAGTGGTTAAGAGCACTTGTGGCTCTTCCAGAAGACCCAGGTTCAATTCCCTGCACCCACATGGCAGCTCACAACTGTCTATAACTCCAGTTCCAGAAGATCCAACACTCTCACACAGACATACATGCAGGCAAAACACCAGTGCACATTAAAAAAAAATTAATTAAAAAAGAACATATCTACTAAATAAAAGCATTTTAAATACAATATGGAGTTAGAGTGACTCACTTTTTTCCTGCTCACAATTTGATTCACTAAAGCTGCCTCCTGAAAATCATAAGTATCAAAACTCTGTTCAGAAGTTGCTCCTGACTTTGAGTTGGCAGAATCAGGTCTGGTGGCAATATCAGAAAAAGACAAATAAGAAAACTTCCTTTTTCCCTTTTTCTTGAACACATTCATTCAGAAAAGTAGTAGAAGGTTATCAGGCAAAAGGGAAGTACAATGTATTGCAGTTAAATTAATTTGGAAGTGTGAAGACAGAATACAAGAGAGCAAAAAATAAGATGCATCATTGATTATCATAAATGTGAATGGACTAAATTTCCCTAGTTGAGACACAGATGCCACTGCTGTGGGGTGTAAATTGAGAAGGGTACACTAGGGGGAGAAAATAGGGTCCACAGTTCCGCGTCATGAGAACACCAGTTTTAGAATAATTAGTATTCCAAATAAACTGCCAAGTTTCACACTGTAAAGATTAAGAAAAGTATTGGATAATGGAAGAAAATGTTTAAATGATAAGAGCATCTTGAAGCATGGTGCACTTCGCTTCTGTTCTGTCTTTCTGGTTTATTTGTTTTTTTGGTTTTGCGTCCTGTCCCTGTCCCCCCCCCCCCCCATGTGCCCCTCCCTTCCAGCTGAGGACCTAACCCAGGGCCTTGCACTTGCTGGGCAAGTGCTCTACCACTGCGCTAAATCCACAAACCCCTGTTTTGTCTTTAAGGTGTTTTCTCAGCCCGTCTTTTACTTTTTTTAAACGCTTATATTCTGATTACTGGTTTTAGCCTGAAGTTTTGATAATTAGCCTGACTGAAAAAGATAGTGCATCCTGAAAAGACAATTTCGCACCTAGTAAGTGGCCAGTGACTAGCACCTAAGTAGCATACAAGATCCACTTGTTACACACAGGGAATTGATTCTGCTCTCCTTCTTTTCTAGAAATATTAAAAGTCTTTCGGATATCCAAATAGTACAGGTTGCATGTGGTTACTATCATTCACTTGCACTTTCTAAAGGTAAGCAACTGGCCTTTTGTTTTCTTCCTAAAGATGATTGCTCCGTGCTTTGAACAAAAAGGCCTCTAGCTTTCTTCTTTCTACAAGATTTGTCCTGATTCTGCATTCCTTTTCATTTCTATATGTATTTTAAATCAGCTATTAGTTTCCATCCATACAGAACTGCTAAAATATTGATTGAGGTTGTGTTGTTTATAAATCAGTTTCAGAGTAATCTCTACAGTGTTAAGTTTTTTGCTCATGGACATGACACTTCTCCATGTGATTCTCTAAGGTTTTCTTACTAGTTTTTCATTTGTTTGTTTAAGATGGGGTCTCACTATGTAGACAGACCAAGCTGGCCTCCAACTCAGAGATTTGCCTATCTCTGCCTCCTAGGTGCCGGGGTTAAAGGAGTACGCCACCACTTCCTGACACTAGTGTTTTCATTTATCTCCAAATACCTTAACATCTTTATTATGGTTTTCACTGGGTATTTTTGTTCATTACATAATTTTTGTTTACTATATAGGCCCCATATTGGGTTGTATGTCTTAATTACTAAATATTTAAAAGCTATTACTTCAAAGCAGAGGAAGCTTGCCTTCCCCCATCTCATTAAATTTTATATCTAAGTTTTTTTAGTAATTAAGCACAGAGGAGGATAAATACCTATTAGTTTTGTTTGCATTCTTCTTTCTGGTTTAACTTATTCATATGCCAGCTGAGGATTGGAAAATGAATTAGAGAATCTCCTCTAGTTTTTGTGTTATCACTTAAAAAGACAAACTTGAACAGGAGAAATGGCTCTTCCAGAGGACCTGAGTTCAGGTCCCAGCACCCATTTCAGGCAACTCTGTAACTCCAGCTCTAGAGGATCTAATACCTTTTGGACTCTGTGGGTGTGCACACGCACAGAGACTTACACACGAATAAAAATTCAGTGATAAATTCAGCCCAGCATGGTGGTACATATCTATAATGATCCCAGCATTTTGGGAGGTGAAGCAGGAAGATTTCTAAAAGTTGCAGTTCAGCTTAGGCTATCTCAAAAAAATAAGTGCCAGTACCTCTGTTACTTACTGTTTTAGTAAATGCCTAATGGGGTCTACTGTGAACAAAATATTAGGTTTTAATTTAGTAAAAACTTATACATTAAGACAGTTTTCCAAGTTTGAGGCCAGTCTGGTCTACAGACCCTAGTTCAAGGAAAGAAAGAAACACACAAAGAAACCCTGTCTCAGAAAAAAACAAACGAAGTTTTACTTCTGGAGCTGGTTTTTCTTTTTTGCATTTAGCTTTAGGTAGTATCATAGTCGGGTAACAAGCTTTCTGAGCATTTAGTGTGAACTGTACGCACTCAAGTGTACAGTATACAGTGCGTGATCAGCTACACTACTAGACCTCATAGGATCCCACAAGTTACAGGGTAATTAGATGCTGTGAAAGGGTTTACAGTTTACAGAACATTTCATGAGGATGAGATTTATCTGGACTCTCCAAGAATGAAGACTAGAGGTGAGCTAAACAAAGAGTTAGGAGGTGATTCGGACAGTGAGAACATAGCACATGAGTGCAGAGGAGTGTGGCTGGAGTACAGTGAGTGAGGAAATGATTGTCCTAAGAGCATGAGAATGCACTAGATTTCTCCCCTCAGATCTACCCTGTGTGGTGTTCATTTGTTTGTTGTTGTTGTTGTTTTTTTTTTTTTTTTTTTAATAAATTTTGTTTTTGAGGCACAGTCTTACTCTGTAGCCCAGGCTGCCCTTAAACTAGGCACAATCTGTTTTAGCCTCTCAAGTACTGGGATTATAGACATTAGCCACCACACCTGTCTGAAGTTTCTTTATGCATATATATGTACATGTTTGAAGAAGAGTCAGGGACCTAATATTTTAAAAGTTGGAGGGAAGCTAACTTCAAAGTTATTTATTTAATCATGTGTGCATAGGTTTGGATCCAAAGAACAGCTTTGGGAGTTATACCTCTGGTGCCATATCCCCCTTTGTCCCCTTCTTTCTTTTCTTTTCTTTTTTGGTTTTTGGGGTTTCTTTTTGAGACAGGTTGTCACTAGTTTGGTGCTTACCAAATGAGTTAGGAGAGAGCTGAGAGCCATCACTGCCTCTTCTTCCCCAGTGCTGGAGATTGCAAAAGCATGCCACCAGACCTGGCTTCCCCTCCTCCCACATGGTTTCTGGGGGCCTATTGAACTCCTTTCCGGGTTACCAGCAGAGCCGTCTCCCCAGTCTAGGAGCTTACTTTGAAATGCATGTTATTTTGTAGTATGAACTTTTAAATTTACTCATATTGCTTACTAGATTATTGCTAGTTGTTTTAATAAAAAATGCCTGAAGTTGTGAAATGGTCTGGCAGATCAATCAAGTGACAAGCAGAGAAAATGATGAAGCGAATGAGGAAGGATGCTAAAAATAGGTCTATTTACTAGAAAGAAAACTGTATGTAACTTGGTAATACTTGGTAGATTTAGATTTGGCGATGTCTGAGAAGGGACAAGACATCCCTGGGTATGTGACCGCTGATGAAGGGCAACAGTGGGAAGAGAAGTATGGGAATTGGAAACAGGGCAGAAGCCATATTCAATGTGGGTGTACTGAATTAGAAGTGGTTTTGAAACATCCATATGTGCGTGTCAGATAAGCAGTGGGTTACAAGGTGTTTCTTCCTGTTTACATTTGTATATGTTAGTTGATAACTGAAGCCTTGAGTTAGAAGAGTACTTGGAGAAGTTAGAGAATAAGAGTGAAAGGTGAGGACTGTTAGAAAGAGACGGTCCTTTGTTGTGGAGCATAAGGAACTGAGTTTGTCCTTAGTTTGCATCAGTATTTACTAGTGTTTGCTGAAACTTAAGGTATACTCATAAGGAGTGTTCTTCTAGGTAGTAGTATGTTTTCATGTAAAGAAACAAACTTCATTGTTAGGAAGCATGTGATTTCATTTAATGAGAGGATGTCTCAAAAGAGTAGTTGATCTGCAATGATATTGTATGTGTGTAAAATAATTTTATGATTTTTGTCTTACAGCAAGTGAAGTTTTTTGTTGGGGACAGAATAAATATGGCCAACTGGGTCTAGGCATTGACTGTAAAAAGCAAACTTCACCACAGCTGATCAAGTCTTTACTTGGAATTCCGTTCATGCAAGTTGCAGCAGGAGGAGCCCATAGTTTTGTCCTCACCCTTTCTGGGGCTATCTTTGGATGGGGACGTAACAAATTTGGTCAGCTAGGTCTTAATGATGAAAATGGTAGGTTCTCATTATAGTTCAAGTATGTTTTTTAAAAGATCATTATCTGTGATGAATGAGTGATTCTTAGAGTATTGGAGAAATGTATACCCAAATCTTCCTAGGACCAATAGAGGTGGAGCTGAGGATGTTAATTTAAAATTTTAATGTGATAATGTTTTGAGAAGATCATGCATGGGAAGGCTAAAAATTAGCATATAATAAATTGGAAAGTTTATTGAGGCTGGAGATATAGCTCAGTGGAAAAGCTCTTGCCTAGTATGCACAAGGCCCCTGGGTTCAATCCCCAGCACCTTTTCCCCCTCAAGAAAGAAAAATATTCTTTCAATCATTTGGACTGAGGTTATAGATAGCTCCATGGTAGAATGCTTGCCTATCACACAGGAGGCTAGGGTTTTAATCCCCAGTACTGAAAGAAAAGAAAAAGTTTATGCTGTCTAAGTCTTCATTATTGGGTGTTTACAAATACTACTTTAAGTTGGTAGCCAGTGTTGTTCCAGTATTGGCCACCATTAATGGGAAGAAGCTATAAAATTAATTAGTGAAGAAACTGTGCATATAGCTTTCTGGTAGAACATGCATGCAGTACTCTAGGAAAGTAACATGATACATTCAGTCGATGTGTTTCAAGTTGGATTTATATGATCTGGGGTTATTAGATTAATTTTTGGTTGAACTTCTTTTTATATTGATGATACTCTTGAAAATAAACATTTTGAATTTTAAAAAATGACTATTTTTTAAAGTTACGATCTTTTATCTGCCAGTATTTTGAATACTAATATTTGGCATTCAAATCACAGTTTGTAAAGTTCAACATACTTTTAAAGACTGAGATGGCCAAAGTGAGTTTTTAGCCAATAACAACTTATAATGATAAGTAAATAATACCCTCACAGAATTAGATAATTTTTGTTCTGCATAAAAAATATGTTCATGTTTTGCCACAAAAAGCAGAAAGTATGACAGGCTATTGTGTAGGATCTGAGCATAGCCATTACAGAATAAATAATGATGATACACATGTAGGAAATCTGAAACACTGAACTGGATTGCTCAGGCCTATGCACATTGGCATAGGGTGATTGAATTCTCATCTTTGAATCCTTCTTTATCATAGGAGTAGAGATTGGTAGCCCTGGAAACCCAATTTTATAAACTTTTTTCTTACAAAGTCTTTGATTGATAGTCAAAATTAGTATTATGTCTGCTGAGTTTGGAAATCTGTAGAGGAAGCACATTTTAGAAGAATTTTAGTTTAAAAAATATCATTAACATCTTTTATTGGAATTTTCAGATAGGTATGTTCCTAATTTACTAAAGTCACTAAGATCTCAGAAAATAGTTTATATTTGTTGCGGAGAAGATCATACTGCTGCATTAACCAAGGTATTGTATTATAAAACTTTTTATTATTCACAGTAATTTTCTCATAGTGAATGCTTTCATGATATTTCTATTAAACTTGAGCAGTGTTTGTGTTTCAGAAATAGTTTGTCTTAAAACAGACCTAAATTCTTGAAAATAACTTGTCTTAATGTTCAGTTTTGTTTAGGGTTATGAAGTGTGTGTTTTGATATGCTGTCACATGCAATTGCAGCAAGGTTTAAGTGGTTATGTCGTCGAAACTCACCTTCAGCTGTAGATACTCCCCTTTCTGAGTGTCCCGAGTGCTGCGGCTGCAGTCACTCAGTACCGTGCCTGGCACTCTTTGGAGGGGTGTTTGTTTGTCTGTGTGTTGATACTAGAATTTAAAACCCAAGACCTTGTGTATACTAGGTCACGTGTCTACCACTGAGCCACATCTCCAGCTCTTTTTTTATGGTGAGATAGGAGCTTGCCAAATCGCTCAGGAAGACCTTGGGTTTTTAATCCTGTTAGCCTCCTGAGTAGCTGGGATTATTAAAAATTTTGAATGAAATGACTTCATTTTGGTTCATTGGGCTTGCAGTGCTGTGTATCAATCCCATTGTACTTTATCATTCTACCTAATTTGCATGAAACTTCCATTTGGTTTATAAATATTTTATAATAAGTAAAAATAAGCAGCTGAATTTCTGTTATCTATAGGCTGAGTATTATGCTGGCAATTACAGTGTGTGTGTTTTCAGTATAGTCTTGTCAGTTGCTTTAACATTTATCTTCCATTTTCTGGGGTGTTTCTGTGGTGACTAGATGTCAAGTGAACACATGGTGTGAAGACAATGGGTGTGGCTCAATAAACAGTTACGTAGGGACCTCAATTTGATCTTCAATAATACACAAACAGAACAAAATACTGCTAATCTTTACTGTAAAAAATACTGTTGTGTTCATTCACATTAATTTAAAGATTATTGTTCTTTGGCCAAATTAGAAATTGATGTTTCAGAAGGGCTAGGGATGTAGTTAGTTAGTAGAGTGCTTGCCTGACATACAGGAGGTCATGGGTTCTAGCCGAAGTACCAGTTGAGTGGGGTGGTGGGGAATAGAGGGAGGCAGGAAGTTCAGAAATTGAAGGCTGTCTTTGACTGCATGGTTTCTGTTTTTTGTTGTTGCTTCTAAAACACCGCCCCCCTCCCCATTTAGTTTTGTTTTGTTTTGAGAGAGGGTTTCTGTGTAGCTACGGCTGTCCTGGAATTTACTCTGTAGATCAGGCTGCCTCAAACTCACAGAGATAAGCCTACGTCTTCCTCACCAACTGGCTTCGTTATTATTATTTGTCTTGTGTAATTGGTAAAAGATAATAACTTCCTTATTTATTTACTTATTTTCAAGAGTCTCACTGTGTAGCCCTGGCTGGGCTAAGAATTCATGTAAATCAGTGGCCTCAGATTCACAGAATTCTTTTTGCCCACCTCTCCCCTCTGAGTGTTGGGGTCAAAGGCATACGCTACCATATTTGGAAGAAATTAATTTCTAGTCATACTTTGAAAAATTGGGGGCTGAAGAGATGGTTTAGCAGTTTAAGAGCATTTGCCTCTTCCCCAGAGGACCAAGGTTTGGTTCCCTGCACCTACATGGCAACTCACAACCATCTGTAATTTCAGTTTCAGGGGGTCAGATGGCTCCATATTGCCTCTGTGGTGCACTGCACTCACATGGTGCACTTATTGTACATGCAGGTAAAACACTCACACATCAAAATTAAATTAAAATTGTATTAGATTGGGAAATAGAGCTCAGGTGCAGAGTATGTGCTGAATTGCATAAGACCACAAAAGGAGGGAAAATTCGGCACTGTTTTTTCCTTTTTCCTTCGCTCAAAATGACATTTTTAGTTATATTTTTTTAGACAAAAATCTTTATTTGGTTTGTGTTTGTGTTTTTTTGTTTTTTGTTTTTGTTTTTTTCGAGACAGGGTTTCTCTGTGTGACCCTGGCTATTCTGGAACTCACTATGTAGTAGATCAGGCTGGCCTCAAACTTACAGAGGAGGTATGCCTGCCTCTGCCTTCCAAGTGCTGGGATTAAAGGCGTGCATCCCCACCGCCAGGCTTAGACAAAATCTTAATATAGCTGAGACTGTCTTCAACTTTGTGTTCAGTCTCAGGCTCCCTGGTACTGGGGTTACAGGTTTCCTTTGAATTCCAAAAGTAGCTGAGGATGACTTCAAATTTCTGATCCTCCTGCTTCTACCTTCTGAGTGCTAGAATCACAGATGTGTACCATCACACCCACATGTACAGTGTTCAGAGATGGAAGCCAAAGCAGCGCATGGTAGGCAAGCACTCTACCAACTAAGCTGTGTTCCCAGCCTCCCTCCTACTCTGGATTTGATGTGGAAAGTTTCTTTCTTTTTCTTTCTTCCTTTCTTCCTTTCTTCCTTCCTTCCTTCCTTCCTTTCTTTCCTTCCTTCCTTCCTTCCTTCCTTCCTTCCTTCCTTCCTTCCTTCCTTCCTTTCTTTCCCTCCCTCCCTCCCTCCCTCCCTCCTTCCTTCCTTCTTTATGTATGCAGTGTTCTGTCTACACGTATCCCTGCAGGCCAGAAGAGGGCACCAGGTCTCATTACAGATGGTTGTGAGCCACCATGTGGTTGCTGGGTATTGAACTCAGGACCTCTGGAAGAGCAAGCAGTGTTTAACCTTTGAGCCATCTCTCCAGCCCTGGAAAGTTTCTTAAAGCATGTCCTTATATAAAAAATTATGCTGTTAGATGTTGAAAGCAGGATGTAAAATTATGTACACATAACTACAGTTATGAAGAAAAGTGTCAAATTGAAAAATACTGTGGTTGTGTTAGGTTGTTGTGTGTTATATCTCTTATAAAATACATAGCCTCAGCTGGCCGGTGGTGGCACATGTCTTTAATCCCAGCACTTAGGAGACAGAGACAGTTGGATCTCTGAGTTCCAGGCCAGCCTGGTCTACAGAGCAAGTTCCAGGACAGCCAAGACTACACAGAGGAATCCTGTCTCAAAAAACCAATTTAAAAAAAAAAAAAAAAAAAAAAGCATAGCCTCTAATTGACTCATGAGTATTAATAACAAAAAATTAAAGATGATCTCTCATAGCAACTGTGTATGCTTAAAATCGTATCTGTGCATTCTGCTTACATGTACTCTTCATGTTTGTTTTTGACAGAATTTCTTTCTCTGCATAGCTTGGGCTGGCCTTAAACTCATTATCTTTTTGCCCCCAACTTCCTGATGAGAGAACATCACATTCAATTTAGGTCGAGCATTTATGTTCAAGACATAATTAGCTTTCTAACTAAAGATAGTAGCATTTTAAAGTTTTTGTGAAACGTTAGAAATGTGTCCTTTGAATTAAAAAAGAAAGCAAAAGCAGCGCAGCCCAGCATGTCCTGGCTCTCTGGGTGGTTTAGTAGTAGGTGTTATTTGGGGGTTAGGTGTCTCATGTCGTCAAACTCTTGGACAGCCTTTTAACCTTGTCTTCTCAAGTGCTGAGACTGCACTTGTGTAACACCATGCCCAGCAGTAATTCCTTCTGTAAAGAACACTTAACATTGTTTTTATCATAATATAAACATCATTTAGTACTTAAAAAATCTGTGGAAGCCTGCCTGGTGCTTCAACCCATAGTCACAACTACTTGAGATGCTGAAGCAGGAGGCCATAAGTTCAGGGCCAACCTTAATGTCTCAGTGAGATTCTATTTCAAAGCAAAAGGGAGAGACTGGTGTGATAGCTCAGCAGATAAAGGTGCTTTGCAGGCACTCCTGGAAACCTGAGTTGATTCACCAGAACTCAAGGAAAGGTGGAAGGAGAGAACCAACTCCATAGAGCTGTCCTTTGAGTCCGTGTGTTCACAGGGGTGCAGCATGCACACCCATACCAATAATAAAATTTTTTATTATTATTATTATTATTTTTTTTGGTTTTTCGAGACAGGGTTTCTTTGTGTAGCTTTGCGCCTTTCGCCTCGAACTCACAAAGATCCACCTGACTCTGCCTCCCGAGTGCTGGGATTAAAGGCGTGCGCCACCACCGCCCGACTCCAATAATAAAATTTTAAGATGTTTTAAGTAAAAAAGGTATGAAGATGTAGCCTGAGTGATAGAGTGTTGCCTCACATGCACTGAGTGGTGAGGTTAGTCCCAACTATCATAATCAAATTGCCTTAGTTTTCAGACAATTTAACTTCTTGAGTCAGCCATCATCTGTTCAATTTCAAAGACAGGAAAGAAAACACTGAGTCCATATTAAAGGTCAACTCATTTCTGAACATTAGTTTATTTTCTTTCGTTAAGCTTCCTCATAAGTTAGTTGTTTGTTGTTTTCCAGGAAGGTGGAGTGTTTACCTTTGGAGCCGGAGGGTATGGCCAGTTGGGTCATAATTCTACCAGTCATGAAATAAACCCAAGGAAAGTTTTTGAACTTATGGGAAGCATTGTTACTCAGATTGCTTGTGGAAGGTAAGCTGTGGTAAAGAAGTATGGTGATACTGTGTTCCCCAAAATATTGTGCACCCTAATAAACTTATCTGGGGTCAGAGAACAGAACAGCCACTAGATAGACATAGAGGCCAGAAAATGGTGGCAACACACCTTTAATCCTAACATTCCAAAGGCAGAGATCCCTCTGGATCTCTGTGAGTTCAGTGTCACACTGGAAACAGCCAGGCATGGTGACTCATGCCTTTAACCCCAGGAAGTGATGGCAGGAAGCAGAAAGGTATATAAGTCATGAAAACCAGAAACTAGGGTCGATTAAGCTTTCAGGCTTTTGAGCAGCAGTTCAGCTGAGATCTGTTTGGATGAGGACTCAGAAGTTTCCAGTCTGAGGAAACAGGATCAGCTGAGGAATTGGCAAGGTGAAGTGGCTGTGGCTTGTTCTGCTTCTCTGATCTTCTGGCATTCACCCCAATACCTGGCTCAGGTTTATTTTTATTAATAAGACCTGTTAAGACTCATGCTACAAAGAAGAGAGAATTTTGGTCTCTGGACTGATTAGTGAGCTGGTAAGCATGGCATGCATGTAATTCTAGCATGGGAGGCTACATAAGGAGTCCCTGTTTCAAACAAAACAACCTGCTCCCCTGTCCCCACCCCAAGAAAAATTTCACATTTTCCCCCCCTTTGTTTCAAGACAGGGTTTCTGTCTGTGTAGCTCTGACTGGCCTGGAACTTACTCTGAACACCAGGCTTGCCTCTGCCTCCCAAGAGCTGGGATTAAAGGTGTATACCACCACCGCCCAGCAAAATTTAGCTTTTTTTAAATGGTTGTGTAATAAATTGTCTTAGGGTTCTAATAGTATGAGGTAAAACATTTCTCCTGAATGTCTAATTAGCTGCTGAGGAGTCAAAATAACAGAGCCGTCTTATGGTGATTCTGTTTGCAGTTTCTTCGAAACTACTTCATGTTCCATTGTAATGGAATCTTTTTTAATTATTCACCAACACTGATTAGTTCTCCTTTATCAGACAGCCATCCTGATAGGCATATCTTGTTTAGATTTATATTTCCCCACTGCTTAGTGAGCTCAGCATCTTTATGAAATCTATTTTTGTTTTGTTGACTACTATATTCTGGATGTAATCTCTTTATCAGATAGCTAATCTGCAGATATTTTCTTGCATCTTATAGATTGCCCTTGTGTAAATATTTTGTGTTGTCTGGAGAGATGTGAATAAACACACTCATATTCATCCATACTTGGGGCATAAAGAAACAATTCCCCCATCTAAGTGTAGTTTAGTTTAGTTTCTTAAAGGACCATGGGTATGGTGGTCACAGGAGCATGGACTGATTCTGGGTGGCTAAAGAAAATTCTCTCCCCTTGTAATTGTTAACCATTCATAAATCCTCAGGTAGAGTGGGCCCTCTATACTGTCTCATGACTTACCTCTGAAACCCTCTACCTCCTGAACCTTCCCAACACAAAGGAATATTTCATTACCAGCTTTTGAGAATACCGTCTTTTTAAATGCTGAGCTATTCTTCTAAAACCAAAATCCGGATGAAAATAATCTATAGGCTGACTGAGACAAGCCATGGCAGGCATTTGGCTCAATTTTACGTTTTGGCTTTTGATCAGGTAGTTGCTTTTGGAAGACTCCGGAATGCAGTGTGTTTTCTGAAGCAGTTTTGCAAGAAATGTTCTCAAATAAGTAGCAAGCTTTAATTCACCTTATAATAAAATTCTAAGTGCAAAATGTGATTCTGGTGGTGTCTGAAAAAATTGCTCATAACATGTCAGTTGGGAAGGCTAGAGATACTGCTCAGTGGGTAAGATCACTTCTGCTCTTACAGAGGACCTGGGTTTGAATCCCAGCACTCACACGGCAATTCATAACTGTAACTACAGTTTTAAGGAATCTTTTCTGGCTTCCTTGGTCACTGCACACGTACCAGATACACATGGAGATAAAACACATTTATTTTAACAAATGGGATCCTGGCACTGACTGCTTTTCCAGAGGACCCAAGTTCTATTCCAGGCACCATTATGGTATCTTAGCCATCTCTGAGTCCAGATCCAATACCCTTTCCTGGCTTCTGTGGACACCAGTACATGCATGTGGTGCACAGACATACCTATAGGCAGAACACCCACATAGACCAAGTAAAAATTGATTTAAAAATAAAAAGAAAAGAAGAGAGAAATAATGGCATCCTGGACTGGGGGGTGGGGGATGGAATATCTCTTAGTAATGTGCTTGCCTTACTAGCACAAGACCTGAGTTCAGTCCCCACAACCCATATAAGATGTTGGACATGGTGCCATATGCTTATAAGCCTGACATTGATGAGACAGAAACAGAAGAATTCCTGGGGCTTGCTGACCAGCCATTCTAGCCTAATTGATGAGTTCCAGGCTAGTGAGAGACCTTGTGTCAAAAGACATAGATACCTGAGATTGTCCTACACACACACACACACCACACACCACACACACACACACACACACACACACGGTGGGGGTGGGGGTTGCCCCAAAGCCCCGGGCATAAATTGTCTTCAGTTCTCTCAAACTTAATAATAGCTGGATGTGATTAATGGCATGAGCCATTGCATCTGGCTAAATAGTACTTTTAGGTACCACAGGCAAATTTAAATTTCTTGAAGTCTGTTTTGTTTTTGTTTTTTGTTTTTTGGTTTTTTCGAGACAGGGTTTCTCTGTGTAGCTTTGCGCCTTTTCCTGGAACTCACTTGGTAGCCCAGGCTGGCCTCGAACTCACAGAGATCCGCCTGGCTCTGCCTCCCGAGTGCTGGGATTAAAGGCGTGCGCCACCACCGCCTGGCGCTGTTTTTGTTGTTTTGTTGCCTGTGACTGTGGTGTAATTGAGAAAAACATTGCCCAAATCTTCCCGGGAGGTGGTAATGCACACCTTTAATCCCAGCACTTGGGAAGCAGATGCAGGTGGAGCTCTGTGAGTTCAAGGCCAACCTGGTCTACAGAGTGAGTTCTAAGACAGGCTCCAAAACTACACAGAGAAACCCTGTCTTAAAAAACCAGAAAGAAAAAAAGAAAAATATTGCCAAATCCAATGTGCTTTATATAGCTCAATCTTACCTTGAACTTGGAACAGTCTTCTGCTCCAGTCTTTATGTGTCTACATCACCACCTCCCAGCCTGATGTCAGTTCTTGTAATAAGTCAATAAAGGTTCAGCTTTATTCTTCTGCATGTAGATAACCAGTTTTCCCAGCATTATTTATATATAAAAGATTTTTCTTTCTTTTTTTTTGGCTTTTCGAGACAGGGTTTCTCTGTGTAGCTTTGCGCCTTTCCTGGGACTCACGTGGTAGCCCAGGGCTGGCCTCAAACTCACAGAGATCCGCCTGGCTCTGCCTCCCGAGTGCTGGGATTAAAGGCGTGCGCCACCACCGCCCGGCAAGATTTTTTCTTTTTTTTTTTTTTTTTTTTTTTTTTTTTTTTAAAGATTTATTTATTTATTATGTATACAGCATGTATGACTGCAGGCCAGAAGAGGGCACCAGATCTCGTTACAGATGGTTGTGAGCCACCATGTGGTTGCTGGGAATTGAACTCAGGACCTCTGGAAGAGCAGTCAGTGCTCTTAACCTCTGAGCCATCTCTCCAGCCCCAGATTTTTCTTTCTATATTGAATGATTTTGGTTTTTTGAGACAGGGTATCTCTGTGTAGCTTTGTGCCTGCCCTGGAACTCACTCTGTAGCCCAGGCTGGCCTCGAACTCACAGACATCCACCTTCCTCTGCCTCCCACTGAATGATTTTTTTTTAAATGCTTGCTCAGACACATTTGGCCTTGCACTGTAGGACTTAATTTTGGGCTGTCTATTCTATTGATTTGTGTGCTAACACTATGGAGTTTTAGCTGCTGTCACTATGTATCATGTTTTAAAGTCCTGAAGTGTGAGCCGACCAGCCTTGTTTTTCTGTTCTTTAGACAGTCTAGCTGTGTAGTTCTGGCTGGCCTCGAGCAGAAGCATGCAGCACCTGTTCCACTTCCTTTCTTCATAAGATCATATTAACTGGGCCGGAGAGAATGCCCAGTGGTTAAGGGCACCTGCCTTGTGGAGGACCTGGGTTCAGTTCTCAGCACTCATGGCAGTTCACAGCTAACTAACTGTAACTCCAGTTCTAGGGGATTGGATTCTCCCTTCTGTCCTCTCTGGACACTGCATACACTTGGTGCATAAACATATATTCAAGCAAAACAATCATATGCATAAAATACAAAATCTTTTCCGAAAAATTACATTTACTGTTTGACATCTGTTGAGATGCCTAATGAGTTTTAGTTTTTCTGAAAAATACATTGCTTGGATTATTATAGAGATTACATAGAATTTGTGTGTAATTTTACTTTGCTTAGGGTAACATTGATACTCTAATATCAAATCTTTTAGTCAGTGCTTGAACATAGGTGAGCCCTCCATTTATTTACATATTTAATTTTTTATGTGTTTGTGGATATCCACTTTCATGGAGGCCAGAAAATGCCTTCCTTGGTCTCTTCTCTTTATCTTTTTGAGACAGGCTTTTTCTCTGAACCTGGAGTTTCCCGGTTGCCTTGATTGGCTTGCCAGTAAGGCCCATTTCATTTTCGTGTCTCTGCACCCCTAGCTCTAAGTTTATAGGTGTACAGACACACTGCTAAACCTGGCTCCTTTATATGGGTTCTTGGGATCTGAACTGAAGTCCTCATGCTTACATAGCAAGCATCTTTTTCTTTTTGTTTTGTTTTGTTTTTCAAGACAAGGTTTCTCTGTGTAGCTTTGGAGCCTGTCCTGGAACTTGCTCTGTAGGCCAGGCTGGCCTTGAACTCAACAAAGATCCACCTGCCTCTGCCTCCCAAGTGCTGGGATCAAAGGGCGTGCACCACTATGCCCAGCTATTTTTGTAGGTAATCTTTATCAGATTAAATATTTTTTCTTTTATTTCTAGTTTTATTTTCTGTGTGTTTGTTTTCAGTGCTAGGGATTGATTCCAGGGTCTGTCTTAACCCCATTCCTACTTGTTAATTGTTGCTCCTTGTGTGTTTGTTAAGATGATTTGTGATGTTTATCGTGTGGGGGGTGCATCTTCATAGGCCAGAATAGAGCATTGAGTGTCCGTCTCTGTCACTCTCTGCTGCCATGTCCTGAGATAGAGACTGTCGGTGAGCTGGAAGTTCGCCATTTCCGCAAAGCTGCCTGGTCAGTAAGCTCTCAGGACCAGCATGGCCCTACTCCACATGCTGTGTTTACAAACACACAGCTGTTCATCCCTAGCTCTTTAAATGGTGGTGGACATTCTTATCTGTTTCCCATGCTTAGAGAGCAGACACTCACTCCTACTGAGCCATCTTCCCAGGCCCAGTTGATTTTTTTAAGAGAAGATTATGTTGGTTCATTTTTATTTTTCTAAGTATGTTGTTTGGAATTTAACCTTAAGTCAGAGATTTTCTATCATTTTGTTCTAGGCAGCATACCTCTGCATTTGTTCCTTCTTCAGGACGAATTTACTCCTTTGGTCTTGGTGGTAATGGGCAGTTGGGAACTGGTTCAACAAGCAACAGAAAAAGTCCTTTCACTGTAAAAGGAAATTGGTTTTCTTATAATGGGCAGTGTCCACAAGATATTGGTAAGTGCTAATGTATTTAACCTCTGCTACATGTATTAAAGCTCTTATTAAAATGCTGGTCTTCTGGGGCTAGAGAGATGGCTTGGGGGTTAAGAGCATCCAGCAACCACATGGTGGCTCACAACCATCTATAATAGGATCTGATGCCTTCTGGTGTATGGCTATATATGGAGACACTCATACATAAAATATAAATAAATAAAATGTTGGTCTTCTGTGATGAAGGCTTCTGTGTTTATAGAAACTCCAAGACAAAACATCAAATTTCTTTCTTTTTTTTTTTTTTTTTTTTAACAAATGTGGTGGCAATAGGAGGAACATTGGATTTAGTGTAGCCTGGACTTGTGGCAAGACCTAAAACACATGAGCCTTTTTCTGTCCCACCAGCCATCCCCCAAATAACGACACAGAGACTTCTTATTAATTAGAAAAGCTGCCCTGGAACTCACTCTGTAGACAGGCTGGCCTCAAACTTAGAGATGCACCTGTCTTTGCTGAGTGCTGGGATCAAAAGCATGGGCCACGTCTGGCTGCATCCGGGTTTCTTTTCAACAATGGTTCCAGGCATACAACTTGGTCGTCACACTTGCAGAGGTAGCACTTTCAAACACTGAGTCATCTCCCCAGCCCCTGGCTTAGTTTTTATTGATAAATGACTCTGTCACCTTCTAGAGCAATGGTTTTCAATTTTACTAATGCTGTAACCCTTTAATACAGTTCCTCATGTTGTGGTGATCCCCAAACTTAAAATTATTTTTGTGGCTACTTCATAACTGTAATTTTTGCTACTGTTACGAATGTAATGCAAATATCTGTGTTTTTTAATGGTCTTAGGTGACTCCTATGAAAAGGTCATTCGACCCTCAAATGGGTCGCGACTCACAGGTTGAGAAACCACTGTTCTATAGACAGTCAGTGGAAATAGTTATGCATTATGAAGTATTTACTCAAAATTATTTAAATTTTCCCATGTTCTTTTTTAAAATGAATTTCTGTTTGCTGTTTATTTTGAGGTGTAGTTTTGATATGTATCCCAGGCTAGTCTCACATTCAATAGTTTTGTCTACCAAATGCTGAGATTTCAAGTGTGCCCCCTTTAATTTTTTCTTGTAACTTTTGTAACAATTATTCCAATTTTATATTATTGTTTAAAACAAAATATTAGATACAGACTAGAAAACAGTTTTGTGCATGGATACAGGTCAGAAGAAAATCTTAGGAATTTTCCAAATGGTGCTTAGGCTTGTGGGGTCATTTCATGTTCATCAGTTGGTCCATCTCATTCCAAGTCATTCAGAGCATTTCAAGCCATTTCATGTTATGGAGTCCATAGAATGAATGAGAAGCCTATTTAGATGATCAAGACAAGTCTTGTTTCACATTTAATGTTCTGGAATTTAATGTTTTACATTTTATTTTTATTGTAGATTCTGAAGACTATTTCTGTGTCAAAAGAATTTTCTCAGGTGGCGATCAAAGCTTTTCACATTACACTAGTCCTCAGGTACTAATATAATCATAAAAATAATCAGTTAGCGTCAAAGAAGTTGGAGTAATTTAGAAACATACCTCCCAATTTTCTACTGTTTTTAACAAAAATAAGCAAACAAAAATATCAGTTCTTTATCATGTGTTGTGACGTCTCTTCCTCTGACTGATCTCTTTGATTGTAATGTAGAGCTGTGGCCCAGCAGATGACTTCAGATGCCCTGACCCTTCAAAGCAGATCTGGACAGTGAATGAAGCTCTGATTCAGAAATGGCTCAGCTACCCTTCTGGAAGGTTTCCTGTGGAGATAGCCAAGTATGCGAGACATTTCACTCATAAGTACACAGCCCAAACCTGTGTGGTAGAGCATCATTTGTGGAACATTTTCTTTTTTTCATTCTGTGTGTCTTTTGCATCATATATCTTGATTCCATTCATTTCCCCGTCTCTTATCATCCACCACCACCCCCAGAATTTTCATTTAAATATTTCATTGACCTGCCATTCTCTGCATAATTTGTATATAAAAGTTTTAAGTACTTACAGCTTCCGTAGTGGGTTTTTAAGATCTCATTTAAAAATACATGTGAAACTGATTGATACAGTGTGGAACAGAGCTGTTTTCAGATTGCATTTAAGCTGTGCTCCTTTGTTTCCTTAATCCTCTCTTGGTTTTTATTTTAATTAGTATTTATTTATTTTGCTTATATGTGTATGGGTGCACACATGCTGTTGTACACATGTGGCAGTCAGTGGAGAACTTGGAGAAGTGAGTTCTCTTCCACTTACATAAAAACGATTTGAAGGCCGGGCGGTGGTGGCGCACGCCTTTAATCCCAGCACTCGGCACGCCTTTAATCCCAGCACTCGGGAGGCAGAGCCAGGCGGATCTCTGTGAGTTCGAGGCCAGCCTGGGCTACCAAGTGAGTCCCAGGAAAGGCGCAAAGCTACACAGAGAAACCCTGTCTCGAAAAACCAAAAAAAAAAAAAAAAAAAAACGATTTGAAGAGTGGACCTGGTTTGGGGGGTACATGCCTTTAATCCCAGTACTTGGGAGTCCGAGGCAGGTGATTCTCTCAGTTCAGGGCCAACCTGGTCTGCATAGCAAATTCTAGCGCCAGTCAAGGCTACATAGTGATACCTTGTCCTGAGTAGGTTGGTAGGTAGAATCAAAGTTTGTTTCCTTGAATTTATCTTTTGTGGGTGTGTGCACGGATGTCTGCAGATGTGCATTCACTTGTTTCCATGTACGTGTGGAAGCCGTGAGTCTTTGTTGAATGTTCTTCCCATCACTCAGTGTTTTAGTTTTTGAGACACCATCTTAGGCTGACTGTTTAGTCAGCTCTGGAATCCCCTTGTGTCCACTCTGATACTAGGTGGTTGGTGGGCCTTAGGGAATCTTTCCTCTACCTCCCCAGCTCTAATATTATAAACACACACTGCCAGACACAGAATCCTAGGGTATCAAACTTGAGTCCTTTTACTTACACAGCAAGCAATTACTAAGTCATTTCTGGTCTCTCTCTCTCTCTCTCTCTCTCTCTCTCTCTCTCTCTCTCTCTTTTAAATAGGGCAGTCTTAATTGTATAGCCTCAGTTGGCCTCAAGCTGTAGATTTTCCTGCCTCACCTTCCCAGATGATTAGATTCTACCCATGTGTCACCATACCTAGGTCTAAATTGTCGTTTAAATTTTTATTATAAACAAAAGACAAATAGTTATATGTGTCTCATTTATTTTATTTTTAGTGAGATAGATGGAACATTTTCTTCATCTGGTTGCCTGAATGGAAGTTTTTTAGCTGTTAGGTAAGTGGCAATTCCTTGATTGCCTGAACCTTTGAAATGTATTGAATTGAGTGATATATTAAAGAATTGAGTAATTAATATATATTTGTAGGAATCTATATTAAAGAAATGAAAACACTAACATTTTAATTGTTAGAGTTTTTCTGTTTTTAAAAGTTAATTCTTTGACAGCTTCATACATGTATATAATGTGCTTCGATGTTCTAACCTCTGGTTGCCCTCTATCTCCTTCTTACTCACTTTGAACCCCTGCTTCTCAACAAGTTCCCTAACTATTTCATGTCCACCGTTGGGTGTTAATGTGATGTCCATTGAGTTTATTAAGAGTCATTGTGTGAGCACAGCTTGGGTTAATTCACTGCAGCCTAGGAACAGCTAACGGGTACAGCGCTGAAGAAAATGACTTTGCTCCCTTCTTTCTTTTTTTAGCAATGATGATCACTATAGAACAGGTACCAGATTTTCAGGAGTTGATATGAATGCTGCTCGACTCTTATTCCACAAACTCATCCAGCCTGACCATCCTCAGATATCTCAGCAGGTTTGTTCTCACATGGTTGTGTAGTTACTTTAGTGAACTGCTGGATTCTTACGTGTTAGTTTTACAGATCTTTTATGTCTGTAAACGAATTAATCTTGTATTTCATAGACTGACATTATACTTCATGATAAATTCAAGGTTTATTTTAAAGCATTTGTAATTTAGGTGTTAAAGATACATTAAATTTCTCAGATGTTTGTAGCAGACTTTAAATACTTAACACTACTGTTTGGTTAAGTCTGTTAATAGCTATAGTGGTCACTGGTAGAGTTTACATTGATATTACCCTTGCTTTTTGAAATGTCTAGCAGTGCTTAGGCAGTAGTTTGCATCGTGCTTCAGTTGTTGTCTTTTTGGTTCAGTCATCAGCTCACGTGTGTTGTAGTGCTTGATTTTCTCTTTACTCTTCTGTTATATGTGCGTAATGTGTATGTGCATCTCTGTGAAGTGCATTCACTTTAAATGAAGTAGCTTTTGCTTTTTGTCACAATATAGGTGGCAGCTAGTTTGGAAAAGAATCTTATCCCTAAACTGACTAGCTCCTTACCTGATGTTGAAGCCTTGAGGTTTTATCTTACTCTACCTGAATGTCCCCTGATGAGTGACTCCAACAATTTCACAACAATAGCAATTCCCTTTGGTACAGCTCTTGTGAACCTAGAAAAAGCACCACTGAAAGTCCTCGGTAAGAATTTTAGTATTTTTCTTCTGAGTGTTTTCTCTTTAAATGAGAATGTTAATGAGTTCTTTTGTTTTGTTGCCTTGCTTATTTGACATTGTTCTAGATGGAATAGATTTTTCTCTCTTGTTGGCTTTTTCCCCTGGGTATTTGATTCTAATTGTTGGAGTTGCTGAAGGCAAATCATGTTAAATATAGAATTTTAATCCAATATAACAGAGATATAGTATCAAGAACAATTAAAAACCCCTATTTTTCTCCCCCATCGCCTTGAGTGATCTTGCTGGTAAAGAACTGGAAGAGCCATTGAAACTGAACAACATTGGTTTTAAATCATCCTTGAGCCTCAAGATCAACCATTTTCCTCTTAGTTCTTTCCCTTGCTAATTTCCTTTGTTTTAATTTTGTACCTCTGCTTATGCACAAGATTCCTGAGTTCACAGTTCAGCCTCTGTTATTCTCTGGGCTTTGGTCTAACTTTGCTCACATTAATTCTTCTAACGATGTGGATTCATCGCTAACTCCTGGCCTTTATACTTGGCTTGCTATGGATAATCCAGTGTTTTGCTTTCTAAGAGTGTTTGCTAGGTATGTGGAACTGAAATATATCGAAGTAATAAAATGACTATAAGAACTTAAATGCTGAGGGTGAGTAGAAAAAGCAGTAAGTGAGGAATGCTGGGGTCTGAAGGAGTGAACCAGCATGGAAGAGTCAAGCCAAGTACTGCTTCCCCCACTTAGAAGGTTTTACATTCTTCTTGCTTCATTTCCTACGATTGTGGGGTTTGTAGGTAGAAACTACCTACAAATAATAATAACAAATAACAAATAATAACATGAATAAGGCAGTATAGGTTACAACTTTACAGTAAGTTTCCTGTTTCTGATTTCCCAGAGTTCCTTAGATTTGTAAAGTTGTTGCTTCACAGTATTTCAGTTTTATATATTAAGTTGAATAATAAAACTTAGATTTTTAAATATTTGAACAATACGATTCTAAAGTGTATTTTGTTTAAAAAGAATTCTGATTTCTGTAACATTTTAATAATTGATTTTAATATTAGCTATGTTGATTTTTTAATTATAATTTATGAATTTAAATATAACAGGGGTACCAAGAATGTGAATTCAGTAGGTCTTTCATACTTTACTTTTGAGAGATTTTTAAGAACATTATTCTGTATTGGTAGTGAGGAAAGTGATCTGTAAGCCCTAAAGATGTTATATAAATCATTGCTGTATTCATCTTCTGGAAATGTTCAAAAGGTTAAACCACTGCTCTAGAAGAAAAGTTAGTGTGTTTTTTTAAATTCTGATTTTTTTTATTCATTTTATTTGCATGTTCACCCTTTAATAACAGAAAACTGGTGGTCAATACTTGAACCTCCACTATTCCTCAAGATAGTAGAACTTTTTAAGGAAGTTGTGGTACATCTTTTGAAACTCTACAAGATCGGCATTCCCCCTTCTGAAAGAAGAATTTTCAACAGTTTTCTTCATACCGCATTAAAGGTTTTAGAAATATTACATAGGGTATGTCCATTATTAGTCCTTTATTTTCCTCTTTCCCCATTCCTACTAACAGATTGATAATGTTCATTTTAACATTAATATTAGAATGGCATAAAAGATACATATTAAAGAAATTTGAAAGTTATTCATAGTTTCTCATTTCCTTTACAAGTAATATATTTATACTTTGTAGCTTTGGATTTGTAACTTGACTTTGTTAGGCATCTATAGCCTACAGTTGGGCAGAACAATAGCATATTAATGAATTAGAATTCTTATGTTTTCTTGTAAGGAACCTAATGTGTTAATTTAATGATACATTATTTTTAGTTATAAGTGGTTATCATATACATACAAGTGACTGGGCCCTTGTAATTACGAACATTTAAAGTTCTATTCTTTTGGTGTAGGTACTAATGGCCTCAATCAAAGTAGAATGTTTCATTTGAAACAATTGACTAATTTGAAAATGAAACCATATATAATTCATTAATTTGCCTATTGTTCTTTCCTGCCCTTTTTCCCAGTGTAAGAAATAGTACACTTTACACTGTAGAAGTGCAAAGGTACATGAAGAAATAGAGCTCAGCTGTCTCATTAAAGATGGACCTGAGTCATCCCTGACAGTTGGTAGGTATATCTCTGTTATGCCATTTGGTACTCTAGAGTTGCTACTTAGATGAGACATGACCTAAGGGAGAAGCATGTGTTCATAGTCCATAATAGCCTGAAAACTCCATATGAATATAGTTTCTTTTCCATAACAACTTCTTTACACTTTCAGACTCTTCTTGCTCAGTACTAAAGTAAGCAATAAAGGGGACAGAGGAGATAAGCCCTTTTTCTCTGTATCAAAGAAACCCTGTGGATCATTTATTTTACTTTTTTTATTTTTTTTTTTTTTTTTTTTTTTTTTTTTTTTTTTGGTTTTTCGAGACAGGGTTTCTCTGTGTAGCTTTGCGCCTTTCCTGGAACTCACTTGGTAGTCCAGGCTGGCCTCGAACTCACAGAGATCCGCCTGGCTCTGCCTCCCGAGTGCTGTATTTTACTTTTTTTAAAGTGAAGCTCCTGGGTGTTTTTCTCAACTTCTTAACTTCCTTGAACTTTTCTTTTTCCTTTTGTATTTAGTATGTCCAAGATTCTTAGGCAGTTAATTTCTGTTCTCATTGTTATAATTAAAGAGATGATAGCAATTTCTTTTCTAGGAAAACATGTCATTCCCCACAACAAGACTTTCTTGCAGCCTATCAGGGCCTGAGTGTGCAGCGTACTGCAATTATGAAGATCTTGTAACATCATAGCATGGGTCTCCACCTTTCTATATACTTTTTGTTTAGGATTCAAGTGATTAATTGTGTTTTTCTTTCCTCGGATGAACTTTCCCCTAATATTTCATGAGCCATCATTCTTCAGCTGGACCGTATTTCTACATGATTACTCTTTTTGACTCCATTGTCTGCTTATTTTTTTTTTTAATTCCTCTTAAAGAATACTTAGCCCTGTCTTTTATCTCAAGAGAAGGGGCTGCCTGTAATTCCAGGAGTCTGAAAGCTGAAGCAAGAGGATCACCAAAATTCCAGGCCACTGTGAACTGCAGAGGGCATCTCTGTCTCAAAGAAAGGGAGTGGGAAGAGGAACTTTTATAGTCCCAGCTAGGGCTTTCAAGCTCAGACGCCTTCGCCTTCACTGAGATCAAAGTTTTAGAATTAGGCAATACTTGGTCTATCGGGTGGTGTGTTCCTCAAAGATTTTGTGGGTTTTTTTTTTTAATCCCCCCCCCCCCCCCCAATTCCCTTCTCTCCGGGTCTGTAGATGGAGCTGCACATGGCAGGCAGGTCCTTTCCCTGAGCTGCAGTCTAGCGGGTCTGTAGATGGAGCTGCACATGGCAGGCAGGTCCTTTCCCTGAGCTGCAGTCTAGCGGGTCTGTAGATGGAGCTGCACATGGCAGGCAGGTCCTTTCCCTGAGCTGCAGTCTAACTCTCAGGTTTTGGGATTAGATCTTGTGGTATAGCCCCAGCTGCCCTTAAAATTCATGGTCTTCCTACCTCAGCTTCCTGGATGCTGGGATTTTAGTATTGCCTACCGAGCTTGGCTCCAGAGACCATTTTGAAGGAGCCATGCCAAATACTAGGGTCCACCTTCTTACTAGTTCAAGGTTGGGATGGCAGTCGAGTCTTAACATGTCTTGTTTGTCAGCAGTATCCAGCATTAGAAGCCTCTGTGGGTAATAACTATGAGCATTGTGTATATATTCATTTTTTAAAAGATTTTTAAGAAATAGACTTGTATAGTTGGTATCTCTTCCCTTTTTATAAATTAAGACACTGAAGAAACAAACAAACAAACCTACCAGGTGGTGGTGGCACATTCCTACTTGGGAGGCAGAGGCAGGTGAATCTCTGATTTTGAGGCGGGGTCTACAGAGAGCGTTCCAAAACAGCCAAGGCTTCACAGAGAAATCCTGTCTCAAAAAACCAAAGAAATTGAAAAACAGCTCAGTATTAATGTTTAGTAAATCGCAGAATTGAAAGAAGTTCAGATCTGCTTCTTAAACCCTTGGTGTTTTCCTTCTACATTAATGAGTATGTTAACATGTACTTAGGGGCTGGAAAAATGGCTTAACAATTAAGCACATACTGCTCTTCTAGAGAACCCACAAAGCAGGGGCTCACAACCTCTTGCAGCTCCAGGTACAAGGGATTCATTCTAACACCCTAAGCCTCTAGGGCATCAGTACTTGTGTACACACACACATGCTTAGAGCAGGTTTTACTTTTATTATGCCTTTAGAAATCACGATTCAAACTCTAGAGAGTATGTTATGTATACTATCTTGTGTTTAGGCTGCTTTGTGTGTTTTTTTATGTATGTATATGTATGTGCAGTACTAAAGATTGAGCTCAGGGCTTCTTTAGTCGTGCTAGGCCTTACTCTTATCACTGAGCTATGCCTTTATGTCCACATCAGCACTGTTCCTGGACTGGAAATCAATAGAACACACATTGATCTCTTTTTTGCTATTTCCTATCAGTGTGATTTTGAACAAAGTCTTTCTCTTTATCATATGCAAATGAACAATTACCAATAAAATATCAGCCCTGATAGTTTAAGATTAATGTATTATTTAAATTATGTAACTTAAATATTTACTTTAGTATGTTTGTGTTGAATGTGTGCCGTCAAGCATGTACCCTGGTGTACATGAGGGAATCAGAGGACAACTTGTAGGAGTCAGTTCTCTCCACCATGTTGGCCCCAGGTGTTGAACACTGGGTGTCAGGCTTGGTGGCAAGTGCCATTACCTGCTAAGCTGTCTTGCTGGCCCTAAGGTACATAATTTTTAAATTGTTGTGCATTCTGAAGGCAGAGACTTGAGTATCACACCATTTGGATGGGAAGAAAACACTACCTTTGATTTGTTGGGTTAGACAGAAGCTAGGTTCTCAGTTGAAGTTGTTACATACTTGAAAGCACACCAATACACATATAAATTAAAAAACATAAAGACACTGTGTCTTACAGCTATTATGTATTCCTTCTCTGCTCAGTGACTGAGAGTTCGGGGAGTTTCCTCAGTCTGCTCTTCACCCTAACCTAGGAGCAGGACTAGGAGGAAGGAAACGTCGTTTCTGTTCACTGTCTGTTTCAGGATGTGCTTGTTCCTCCCGTATGTCATGTCCTTTGGAAAGTTTGTAACGAAGAAATCTCCACTGCTCTAAATGGCATCCTGAGGAAAATACCTTTGGTACCTGCTGTCAGGGATGGAGCTGTAATGAGATAAAGAAGTTTATTGGGTAGTCATTGGGTTGGTTTTGAGTTCTTGCACAGTACATGGCAGCAATACTAGTGTGCCCAAAGAAAAGGCTTACTTGGTATGTCTATCTTAGTTGGTCTATATAGTACCGGTTTTCAAATATTTGGGGTGGGGGCACGGAACCTTCAAACTGAGTGGATAGAACATACATTTATTCAGCATAGTCACTCCTTAATCAGTGTACTAAATTATAGTGTAAAGTAAAAGGATTGTGAACAGAATTTTGATTTTATTTTGAACATTTTTAGTAAAAATTATATACGAATTTTTTTTTTAACTTACATGTGATTTCTGTTTTTCCTTTGCAAATATTTATTGAGTGCCTACTGTATGCTTGTTATACTAGATGTTAGGGATTTAGTGATAGGAAATCATGTAATTTCACCTTGGCTCTGACAATCTAGAAAGTTATCTATGTACAAATAAATGAATATTTATGATATAGCATAAGTTCTAGATAAGGAAAAATGTACTAAATAAAGAATTAAATACTTTTTTTTTTTTTTTTTGGCTTTTCGAGACAGTTTATTTATGTAACAGCCCTCGCTGTTCTGAAACTTGCTTTGTAGACCAGACTGGCCTCAAACTCAGAGATCTGCCTGTCTCTTATCTCCCAAGTGCTGGGATTAAAGGCATGAGCCACCACACCCAGCTGGATTAAAGACTTCTTAAAGAAAAGGTAGCTTTGTAAGCTAGCTTGTAAGTATGCACACTATACAGAAAGGTGGGTGTATGTGTGTATATTTTGTTTGTAAATTTGTATGCATGTCTTCTGGATAATTTTCAGACAGGCATGGTGATGAGCACACCTTTAATTTCAGCCCTTGGGAGGCAAAGGCAGGTCTGTCTCTGAGGCCAGTGTGGTCTACTTAGTTCCAGAACAGCCAAGGCTGTGTAGATTCTGTCTCAAAAAACCAAAACATACAAAACCCTTGGATTAATCTTCAATACCCAATTTCTTTATTTACACTTTTTATGGATTTGTTAATTTTATTGTTTTATATGTATAAGTATTACCTGTATATCTGTGTATATGTATATATGTATGTTTGCCCCACATATGTGCCCAGTGTCTACAGTGGTCAGAAGATAGTATTGGATCCCTTGGAATTGGAACTACAGAGGACTGTGGCCACCATGTGGGGAGCTGGGAACCCAACCCTGCTCTTCTGTAAGAGCAACAAATGCACCTAACTGCTGGAGCCA